GGGTGACTTTTGGTTAAAAGCTTTCCCACATTCTTTACATTCATATGGTTTCTCACCTGTGTGAATTCTCTGATGCTTGATGAGGGATGACTTTTGGTTAAAAGCTTTCCCACATTCTTTACATTCATATGGTTTCTCACCTGTGTGAATTCTCTGATGCTTGATGAGGGATGACTTTTGGTTAAAAGCTTTTCCACATTCTTTACATTCATATGGTTTCTCACCTGTGTGAATTCTCTGATGCTTGATGAGGGATGACTTTTGGTTAAAAGCTTTTCCACATTCTTTACATTCATATGGTTTCTCACCTGTGTGTATTCTCTGATGCATGCTGAGGAATGACTTTCGTGTAAAAGCTTTTCCACATTCTATACATGCATATGGTTTCTCACCGGTGTGAATTCTCTGATGGATGCTGAGGATCGACTTTCGATTAAAAGCTTTTCCACATTCTTTACATTCATATGGTTTCTCACCTGTGTGTATTCTCTGATGCATGCTGAGGAATGACTTTCGTGTAAAAGCTTTTCCACATTCTATACATGCATATGGTTTCTCACCTGTGTGAATTCTCTGATGCTTACTAAGGATTGGCTTTTGGTTAAAAGCTTTCCCACATTCTTTACATTTATATGGTTTCTCACCTGTGTGAATTCTCTGATGCATGCTGAGGATCGACTTTTGCCTAAAACCTTTTCCACATTCTGTACATTCATATGGTTTCTCACCTGTGTGAATTCTCTGATGGACACTGAGGTTTGACTTTTGATTAAAAGCTTTTCCACATTCTTTACATTCATACGGTTTCTCACCTGTGTGAATTCTCTGATGCACACTGAGGATGGACTTTTGTTTAAAAGCTTTTCCACATTCCTTACATTCATATGGTTTCTCACTTGTCTGAATTCTCTGATACCTACTGAGGATCAAGTTTTCATTAAAAGCTTTTGAACATTCCTTACATTCATATCGTGTCTCACTTTTGTAAATTCTTTGATGCTTGTTGAGGGCTGACTTTTGGTTAAAAGCTTTCCCACATTCTTTACATTTACATGGTTTCTCAACTGGGTGAATTCTCTCATGTCTCTTCAGGTTTGACTTTTGGTTAAAAACTTTCCCACATTCCCTACATTCATATGGTTTCTCAGCTGGGTGAATTCTCTCATGTCTCTTCAAGTTTGACTTTTGGTTAAAACATTTTCCACATTCCCTATAAATTCTCTTATGGTTGCTGAAGTTTGAATTCTTGTGAAAGGTTTTTCCACATGTGTTACAGTCACAGGGATTCTCACCAATGTGAATTCTCTCATGTTTCTTGAATTTTGACTTACTGGAGAAAACTTGACTTTCTTCACATTCATATGGATTTTCACTCATGTGAATTCTCTGATAAGCAGTCAGGGCAGAATTATGGTAGAAAGATTTTCTACGTCCATTACATTCACATGATTTTCCATTTGTTTCAACTGTCTTATGACAGTTGAGATGTGAATTCTCATGAAAGTTTTTGCCACACTTAATAAATCCATAGGACATTTCCCCTGTGTGAATTCTGTGATGCACAGTAAGGCCTGACTTCTGATAGAAAAATTTCTCCTGTTTGTTACATAGATAAAGCTTCTTCCCTGTAGATGTTCCTTGATATGAGATAAGGTATGATTTGTTAGTAAAAGATTTCTGATATTCACTGCATTTTTCAATTTTCTCTCCTGTGTGTATAATCTGATGTTGAGTAAGTTTAGCCTCTTTATAAAACATTTTCCCACATACATCACACTGAAAAGCTTTCTTTTCTACCTGAGTTATCTCTTGGGCAATGACAGCTGACTTATTACAGGCATTTCCATATTCACTATATTTACAGGTGGTCTCACCCATAAGGATCTTATTATATGTAGATATATTTGGCACTGTGTTGGAGGACTTTCCTTTTCCACTATATTCAAAAAGTTGCCCAGTTGTAATCTTGCAATGCTGATGCTCCTGATGTCTCTGTGATTTCTCACATATATTATGCTCATCAGGTTTCTCTCCAGCATGCATGGCATCAGTCTCTGGAGGAAGTGCATTCTGACATACGTTAAACTCCTCATGCCCCACTCGTGAATAGTTTCCATTATTTATAACCAAATTTAAAATATGCTTTGAACTCAAATTAAATGATTTTCCTAACTCCACTCTCTCCTCAGTTGATCGGTTGCCATTGATGATTACACCTTCCCACAAGCATCTACCATGACTCTCTTGGCTCCTCTCAATTAGGTCAATGATTACCTGGACATCTGAAATGACAAAAACAAAAAAACAAAAAAACAAAAAAACAACCCATATCCATGAATCACACATAAGCATATCTTATTACATGCTCATGTAAAGGTAGAGAAGTTTCTCCCAACCCAAGTAATAAAAGATTTTATAAAAACCAATAATGGGTGTTGGTTTCATGAGTATATGGATTTTCTACATACTGACATAATGTTATGTTGTATCAATATATTTTCTAACATAATGTCACAATGTTCTTTGCTTCCTTACTCACTTTTTTCTTTTTTAAATCATGATGAAATACTTGATAATTTTTACCTTTTTCCTAAATGTAGATTTCAAATAATTGCTTATCACCTTCCATTTCTTTACACTTTTTACTTTTTTATTTTTATAACAATAGTGGTTATCTCCTGCTGCTCTTTTTCACATTCTTCTGCTTTGAATATGACTAGGTTTTCCTTCATTGGCTACTTTCAGGTGCAGAATGATCCAATTTTTCACCACATTTGGAGGAGAATGACTTAGGTTAAGATTTTTGCATTAATGTTTTTATACCTTTTATTCTTCCCTAGGAAATGGCTATATGCATGTGGAAGATTTTCAAATAATAAAATCTCCTTTTTCCCACCCTAAACAGAGCCTCCCACAAATTACTCATATAACCTGACTTCTGGTGCTTCTCAAAGCCTTTACTATACAGGAAACTTCAGTCCAACTACAGACACCCTGCTGGTCTAAAATATTTGGTTCTGCAACCAAGGCTGTGCACATCATCTTTGAAAAAGGTGCTTTTGACTCCTTATAAAATCAACCTGTATTATCTTCCCAAA